CTGTCGGTCAGCGCCGACGATGAGCTGACCAACGGCAGCTACACGGCCACGGTGCGCGGCGAGCAGGAGGAATGCGTGCTGGAGCGCATACCCAGCACGGAGCCGCGCTGCGCCCTGCTGCTGAATCTTTATCTGAGCCGTGGTGAGCCGGGCTCCGTGCTGAAGATCAGCGCCAAGCAGCGCAAGGGCGAGCTCAACTTCATTGAGTGCATACGCAAGGGTCTGGAGGATCATTATGGAGACCAGGTCGTCGGCTTGGGCGGCATATTTGTGATTAAGAAAGGCGCCGTCCACCAGCACGTGATGCGTGACTTCAGCACGACGCCCATTCACACCGACGAGGAGGTCAACCAGTGGCTCAAGTTCTACGATATGCCCGCCCAGCTAAACGCCTTGGGCACTCTGGTCACCAAGGAGCACGATCTCGATCTACGCCTGCAGCACTTCCACTCCTTCTCCTTCAGCAACTGGGGCGGTCACTATCACTACGACACCACGCCCGACATCGTTGAGTACGAGGCGTACCTCAATGTCGCCGAGCGTGTGGTCCGCGTCGACAAGCCACTGGACACTCACAAAGTGGGCAGGGACTAGCCCAGATGCCCCTAAGCTCAAGTCATTGCTACTACGATAAATAAAAGACGTGAAAAACTTTTTTCTTTTTTCGCACGATTCTTGTGAAGACAATCGATAAGTTATCGATAATTGATAATTACAGAATATTTCTAGGGGCAAAGTAAGAAGGTAACTGCATAAGATATATGATATAGATACTATGATAAAGTCTAAACTGACTGATGACATTAAGGGCATTCCTTTTGCCATATGGATCGTAGTTTCAAGCTTGACTTGCTCAAATATTGTTTGGTATTCTTGGGATACTTGCAGATTATAATTGGAGTGACATAGCCTTGCATAGCCATACTTTGCACATTAAATATAATTAAGGGTATTCCCTTAGCTCTGCTAACGTGCAGATGACAAGAGTGAAAATAATTTCTATTTATGCTAAATTTCTAATTTTTTTGCCTAACCATTAACGTTATTTTGGGCCATAGTGTGCTGGGCTCCATTAGTGGGTAGGGGGCTGGCTGGTTGGGATTGGGGCTTTATGTTGGCTGACAAATTGAGAGCTGAACTTTCTACGCATGAGCGGCAAATCAATCAAAAGATGATCCATGGCCGACGAGCTCCACTTCTAGCTGAGCACATGCTCTGGGTTCTGGTTTTATGACTCCGTTGGCCGCGCTAATGAGAATCTGCCAGAGTTATGGCGAGCGAGTGGCTGGCTAAGCAGGCCGTAAACAATGCAGCAGCAAGCATGCACCAAGCATCCTCTCCACTCCACTCCACTCCACACCACTCTAGTTGACTCCACTCCACTCCACTCCATAACACTCCTCATGCATTTCTTTTGTTTCTGTTTTTTTGTGTTATTTCTTTTTTGCATCGCTGGCCATTAATTATTTAATAGCTGCGATGCAAAGAGTCGAGTGCGAATCGTGCGGACCACAAGCTATTAAGTTGTTTGGGCAAATTTCTCATATCTAAACTGGATTTGCGCGCTATCTGCAGCATTACGATCAAAGGCAATTAGTATCGAATGCCAGCGACAGTTGCGATCGCATATATAAGTTGATGTACTTAGATATATGGACACATACATGTTATATATACAATTGATATTGATGATACCTTTTTAAGTGGAATTTGTTTCGACTCTACTTTTTTTTATAGCTTGACTTCGTTAGGGGTATGCTTGATGTGTATATGTTATCGATATGCTTTGTGCTATGACTGCTTGAGCCCAAGTCTCCAATTATGTTTTCTGTTTAGCTTAAGATAGTTGACTTGTCAATTTGATATCTATATAAATATTTATGTCTTTAATTCGGTCTCATTCCCAGTTATGCCCACGAGTTGAGTTGTTCCTTGGCTCGCCTGCATGGATCTCTGCGAGCTTTTCCAGAGAGCAGATAAAGACGGCCAAACAAGTTGACAACAAATGAGAATTGTTCCCAGCATTGGCACGAGTGCATCATGTCTGATTGGGAACTACTTTCAAGCGCACAAAGTAGGCATTCAGAAATAATTAAATAATAATAATAAATAATCGAGACAACACAAAACTCCGCTCTTTTATATGACAACAATATAAGACAACTTCTTTATACATTTTGGCCATTTTTCTAATTTACTGATCAGCATTCATATATAAAAATATTTAAAAATATATTTTTAAATATATAAATGTCTTATTTTATTTTTTAATTCATTACATTTAACCAATATTTTCGCATTCTTAACTGCTTTTTAGAAAAATCTCGCTCTGCATATTGCAGCTAATTTTTGCCTCTAAATAAAGTTGAAGTTTTTGCTTTATAAATGTTACACACACACACATATATATATATATATATATATATATATATATATATATATATATATAATTTAAGAAACTTACCCAAAATTGCATATGTTTCAGTCAGAATATATATCAGATATGGTCAGAGATATAGCAATATAGTTGTAGTAGATATTTTCTTTCAGCTTTCAGCTCGCTTTTGATTTTATTTATGTTTTAGTTGAACAACTTAACGGTTAGATTTCTAATATTTGCATTAAGATATTCGATTATTAAAATTTATTTGTGGGCCAACAACGACAACAATAGCGAGAACGACAACGGCATCCACAGACACAGCCACATCCACATCTTCATCGACAGCAATAAGCCGGCTCCAAAGCCCCACAACAATGGGTTGAAAACTACGTTTATCGAACTGGGCTTGAACCAATTTAATCTGAGATTTGGGTTTCTGCTCTCTGCCTCTTCCTCTGCTCACAAAAGTTATTAATCTGAGACGATGAAGAAATGCAAATGCGATTTCGCTGCCGCACCGAAAAGAAAATTTTGTTGTTGTTGCTGTTGACTTAGTTGTTGTTGCTTCTGTTTTTCTAGACGCTTGCACACTTATTCACAATAGTTAAACACACACAATTAGCACTTTTTATTAGCTCAACTCGGCTCTGATTGACTGCCTGCCCGTGGGACGCGCCCAGCTTGCAACTTGTTGTTGCTGTCGTGCTTTATGTTGCTGCTGTTCTTGTTGTTGCTTTAGTTGAGGTCGCGTTCACGTCTGTTCGACCGAAACTCACATTGCAGACTGAATGAAGTTGGCCAACTCGATAAACTGAATGAGTAGCTGCTGCTGTTGCTGCCGCTGCTGCTGCCACTTGTTTTTGCTATACTCTGTTCGCAGAGCAAAGTAGGGCATATGCGTGAGCCTAGTCTTCTCTGGCTGTTTGCTGGCGAGAATTTGTTAAAAGTATCTCAAGAATTCTAATTAAGCCAATTATCTAGTTAAGCCAAGTTATCTATAGATAACTTGTTCATAATATAGATTAAATATATCAACATTTGCCCAAGCTCTTTTGATATGTTTGCTATCTATAGTTGGACTTCCCTTAAGATTAAACTTAAAAAAAAACTCAACACTTTTTCTGTATTTACAGTTTGACAGTCTCCTGTACTTGGCGCACAGTTACAGAGTCACAAGCCCAAAGCTCAAATATCGTGGCAATTTATTTAGCATGAATGGACCCTTTCCAGGAAAGCAGTGCACAGTGCATAGTGATGAATGCCCTACCAGTTTCTTGAGAATTCAAATTTACAGTGTATTCTACAGGCAGTCAATGCGACTCCAGCTTACTCAGTTATTGTTCAGGTGCAAAAAAACAGAGTATAGTGTCTTAGGTTTAGTAAGTTTCTCTCAATTGCAAATAAAATCCTCTTGCTCTTTACAGAGTATTCTGCAGTCAAGGCGTTAAATTCTTCAGCTCTTCTTACACAGTTCTTGTCTAAGTTTCTTAGGTATGCAAATAGACTCTCTTTACTCTAAAGCAGAGTATTGTGCAGTCAAGTGGAACAGTTGCGTTGTCTGCTGCTGCTGCTTCTGCTGCTTGCTTTGCTTTGTTGCTGGTTTAGTTGTGGGCAGGTTGTTGCTGCCGCTGCTGCTGCTACTGCTGCTGGTTGTCTGTTGTTGCTGTCGCCTGTTGTTGCTTTTGATTGAAATTGTCGCTTAATCTCAATTTGGACACATTTGCTGAGAGCTAGATGAATTTTACCATGACTAAACGGCGTCGAGTGCCTCAAACAATGCGGGCCAGCTGCAAAAATTTTAAGTTTCCAATTCCTCAACCAGTTCCCAATCTATTAACTTATGCAGTCAATGCCAATGTCAGCCAATAACAACAACAACAAATACAACCACAACAGCTAGTAGAGTCCTGCCCGCCAATGGCAACATAAACTAGATCCCACCTAAAATCGAAACACTAAACCATGTAGGAGAAACGCGTTGTCGACAACGAGACAGGGACAGGCTCTCTGCCCATATTTTAATTGAAATTGCATAATGAGACGGGTCTTTATAGATGCCGTACGGGTGCCTCTCGTATCGGAATACTCGTTTTAGCGTGGAAAACATCGTGTAAGTCAAATTACTTTTAAATTAATTCAAATTGCCTTCAGCAAGAAGTTTTGTCCAGCCTGCAGGTACTCTAATTATTCCCTGCTCTTGCAATGCACAAAGAGTATATTGGCTTCTTCTTAAGGAATGGACAAATGGCAATTGGAAGTCGAGTCACAAGTTATTATTAGGTAAGATAATAGTACAACCTTTTGCCATATTGTATGAATCGAAAAAAGAGATAGATTTCGTAGATCGAACGTTATTTGATCCAGTTTTTGTCATTCGAAGTTCACATACGTCTATTCCTATGAATTCGAAAAGGTATACTTTTAGAAGATCCGACTTCAGTTCGACAACGTTGCTGCAACCTGATGATGTGTTATGCCAATCGAAAGCAGAGAAACTGACAAGTTACACAATAGATCCAGCTGCATTTGAATGAATTACAATCCTCTTTAGCTACGAAATTATAGGATTGCATCAATTGAACAGGATTAAGATATTGATTTTGCTATATACATACATAGATCATCTGTATTAGGTATTGCCGCTAAAGCTGGACTAAGACAGCGTTTCATTTGCTCAAAACGTTTTTAATTTTACATTTGTTCATGATTAAAATAGTAACACGAGCTAGTTGCTGGCTAATTAATTAGTAATTGAAAGTCTCATCGCAGATGTGATTCTTTGGAAAGGCATTGGATGCCAATAAGGAAAGAGATGGGTAAGATAAGCTGTTACTTGTTGCGCGACGATCATAAAAATAATTTAAGCAACCCATTTAACATATAGATTTTATGCTGAATAATCGCAACGGAGAAAGAAATGCATTTATGTCTTGTCAGGCAGACGCGACTCTCTCGGTAGATGGTAGTTCCGGCTATTCCCGTTGTGGTCGTAACCGTATTTCGCATCTATGTTTCATCTATTGGTAGCGGGACAATTTGGGCAGTGGGGCAAAGGCGGATGTTGCAATAATTCGTGAATCGGTTATTTGCGAGCTAAAAACAGAGAGGAGAGTCAAGGGAGACATATAAGCATTAATTTTATTATGTTCTACATACCGCCAGAAGAGCGAGCTGCCGCGCTTCAGCTCTCTGCGACCCTGCAAATCATTCCAACAGTCCACCCAGTTTCTATAGCTTGGCATTATTGGCGGTTGGCCGGCCATAAGGCGGGATCCGCTGATTGCGGAGCATGTGGACACCACTTGCAGTGGGTAGAGCAGACTAGAGTACACGAACTGAATGAAGCCCGCATTGTACTGCCTGGCCATCTTGTCCTTGATGAAGTATTTGTTCACAACGAAAACAGTGGAGCTGGATAGCACTAGACAGGCTACATCGCACAGCAGCTTGGGGATCAGGCCAGAAAAGAAGCCCAATAATCCTTCGGTCTTCCAGATTTCGGCAATCGAGCCCAATATAGAGTTATAGAGACTCTCGCGACCTACGAACTGTGCCATCATACGCAACGAAATCACATGGAAAGGATGTGCTACAACAATCCCGCTGACCGTCAATACAATGTCGCGTTTCAGATTGTACTTGAATTGCACATAGCTGGCAGGCAAGAAAAAGTAGATAATTCGACGAAATGTTAAAGGGGAAATTATACTCACTTCTCCTCTTCAGTCAGCTCCGACTCGTCCTTGTCCTGCTGATGAGCAAGTCCCAGCTTCTCTGCTACACGCTCACTCACAACCATGCTCAAGACCGACCCAGCTAATTTTGGGGCCAGTCCACGATAGCAGCCGTAAAAGCCATCCACCGTCCTGATATGACCAGCTGTATGTTTTTGTGATATAAGCAAAAGATCGAAGTGCGATTTTAAATGCCGGCCGGTAGTAAGTGTTATGCGGTTGACTTACCGTACTGAAATATGTTTGGCAAGGCCATAATGGGTCGGCCAATCATTGATTTGCCCGGTTTCGCGGCTATGGGCTCATATCCAATCTGAATGAGCGTCTTTGAGTATTCAAATGGATGGAGTGCAGCGCTAACACCAAGACGCAAGCCGAACCGTACCCAGCTATTGACCTCAGTCTCTTCATTTCGGGTGTAGTCAGCGAAGTTAGCCATTGTCGACCTGATCCTGATGGAATATTGACAATAATTAGTCTGTGCGAGTATGAAAATGTTAACCGGTCGGCCGAATTGTTTGCACGTCTGCCTTTTTTTCGCTCTAATTCAGGTTACAAAACTGACAAGGCGTAAATATCGATATGATGATTACGAGTACTACGATGTATGTCAATTTTCTACAATCGACTAGTCGATTTTGATTTTGAAAATATTTCAACCTGTGTCTATCACACTATCACACACTATGATAGCAGCTGAATCAGCCATGAAACGATTAATCGATAGCAAAGCATATGTTTTCCGCCTTTTCGATTGTTACAATGCATAGGTATTTACTCAACATTTCGTACATTGGCACGAGATTTCGGTAAGAACTTTGTAAAGATGAAACAAAATGTATATAATACTCAAATAAACATACAGTGGTATTCAAAAGACTATAAACAAGTTGGAGGAATCGCGCCTGGACACAAATTCAGTTCAAGGTTGCTTGGAATTGGCATTGCGCGTTTTTCGTCCCATAAACGAAATCCAAACCGTTCTCTCCAGTCGGTAGGCATATAAATTGAATTATATTCCATAGGGATTTGTAAAAAATCTATTTTCAGCACAGATGCTGGCGTACATGCCCTGCACTCGACTGTCCACGTCGATTTGGAACGCAATGATGGCAAATGTTACGATACAACTATATTGACGGGCGTGCTCAATCGCACCCTGGACAAACAGGGCCTGCCCATACGGGTGTTGAGCACTCAGCGGGTGGCAGACACCTTCCATTGTCGCTATCACGCTATTGGACGCACCTATTTGTATCGAATAGCGGTATCCAAGCAAAAAACAACTCTGCTTCCAGATGCGAAGAGCAGCAGCTTAAGGAACAAAGCCTACGAAGCGTTTTTGCCCGTTGAGGAGTGGGACAGATGTTACTTTCTGCAGTAAGTCATTGCTTATTCAAGTGAAGTCTCGTTGAGCTCCCACTCTTTCCAGAAATAACAATTTTGATATTGAACGTGTAATTGCGGCTTCTCGCTTGTTCATTGGAGTCCATGACTATCGCACCTTTATGAGCGTCAGTCGACAGAAGAGTCCCAGTCGAGATCATCCCATGTTCACAGTGCGCAAAATTGATGAAATCAATATACGTCCTGGCCGAAGCCTTGCACTGGGCCAAAACGCAACGTTGGCAACAGAAAACTACGACTATTGGGACATAGAGATCAAGGCCAAGTCATTTCTATACAAACAAGTGCGACGCATTGTGGGCACGTTGTTGGCGTTGGCAGAGAGTCGCATCGACGAACGCTGCATTTACCAAATGCTAACAATTCCATGCAAGCACAGCTGGGATCATCGCATACAAATTGCACCTGCGTGTGGTCTTTACCTGTGCCGTGTTCACTACAGAGATACGGCCTTCGAGCTTCCAGAGGAAACTAGTGCTTAAGATGATTCTACTCTATGAGCTGCAAAAGCGTTTGGCCAACCTAAGGCCCACTACCACGATTGTAACTACAGCCACCGGCACCCGTTATATTGAACGGCGCAGATCCTCCACCGGCGAAAATCTTCCGGAACAGCTGGAAGCCCGCCAATATGGCTTCATCGTCGATTCAAAGCCTGATGCAGTTCCTGCGTGCATCTTAAGTGAATTCCTCTACTTAGGCTCTCAGGACGCCGTCAGCTCAGAGAACGTTTTGAAGTATAAGTTAACGCACATCCTAAGCGTAGGTATTGAAACTCCCAATGTCGAGTTACCGCCTAGTGTTAAGTGCAAGTATTTGCCCTGCCTCGATGTGCCCGAGACAAATATCCTGCAATACGTGTTACCCGTCGCCATTGAGTTTATAGAAGAGGCGCAGGCAGCGAAGGGTTGTGTCCTTGTCCATTGCAATGCAGGTGTATCACGCTCTGCATCAGTGGTCATTGGTTATCTTATGAAGCAGCGTGACATGCATTTTGAGGATGCCTACAATCTGGTCAAATCGTGGCGTCCTTGTATACAGCCAAACGCCGGATTTATACAGCAGCTGAAGAAATTTCATAAAGCATAAATATCAACTAACAATAGCCAGTATAAAAATCTTTGTGTTATTAATAAAGTGTTTATTTGCGGTTTAAACCTATAATGGATTAGGAGCTAATTGGACGACTCCCTTAAGATACAGTTGAGATGCACTTAATTTGAATTTGACTTTAAACTCGCGTAAACTCAAATTGGCAAAAAAAGTTATCGAGCACTTATCGACTAAATATTTATTTTATTGCAGCCCTGTCTCAGCTGGACAACAGCGGCTATAAAAACAAAAAGAATGGGTAAATTAAAAGCTGCACTTGTATTGTTAGCAATTTTTAGCCACCAAGCCAACGCCGACTGCGGCTGCAACAAGTTGGAGAGAGATGCTACTGTTGCCGAAACAGTTGTCGAAGAGCCGGCTCAACAGGTGTGCCAGCAACAGGCGCGCAATAAAAACAAACACTATCGAGATTACTACCCCGAGGAAACTGAGGAGGAAATGGAGGGAATGTCTTTGATACCAGGTGGAAGTCACCATGTAGGCACAAATGAGCCCCATTTTAAAGCTGATCAGGAATCACCAGAGCGTCTGGTTAAGCTAAACGATTTCTTTTTGGACAAATACGAAGTGTCTAATGCAAATTTTGCTGAATTCGTCGAAGCCACAAACTATACAACCGAAGCAGAACGATTTGGCGATAGCTTTATATTCAAGACATTGCTAAGGCCAGAGCAGCAAGCAGAGCTGGAAGATTACCGTGTAGCCAATGCGGTCTGGTGGTACAAGGTCAGCGGAGTTAACTGGCGTCATCCCAATGGCATAGACAGCAATTTAGATGGTAGGGTTTTCATGGGAAGGAAACACTATTTGATTGATTTGCTTTCTAGGTCTGGAACAACATCCGGTTGTGCATGTTAGCTGGCGCGATGCAGTTGCTTATTGCGATTGGGCAGGCAAGCGCTTGCCCAGCGAAGCGGAGTGGGAGGTTGCCTGTCGTGGCGGCAAGCAGCGGAAGCTGTTTCCCTGGGGCAACAAACTAATGCCCAAGGACAAGCACTGGCTGAACATATGGCAAGGCGAATTTCCTGATGGCAATACCCAGGAGGATGGATATCAATTCACTTGTCCTGTTGATCGATTCCGTCAAAACAATTACGATCTCTATAACATTGTGGGCAATGTCTGGGAATGGACCTCGGATTTGTGGCAGGCCGGTGACACCGGTCAAAGTCCCAATCGGGTGAAGAAGGGCGGCTCATACCTGTGTCATAAGTCCTATTGCTACCGCTACCGATGCGCTGCACGCTCCCAAAACACCGAGGATAGTTCGGCTGGAAATTTGGGATTTCGTTGCGCCAAGAACGCGTAAGGCGCGAATCTCAATTATAAACACATTCCTCAATAACTCCTATAAGTAACTTGACAAGTCTTGCGAAAAATATAATATATTTTATTCGGTTAAAATAGTAACTTAATTCACAAGAATATATTGTCGCTCTTTAAGCTGGTCCATCCATTGATTGATGATATATATGGCATATTTCTTAAATATTAGTCAATGACAATGAAATTAATTATAAGTATATGATTGTATAATGCACATTTGGCAGCAGTTGCTCCAAGTATTCTGTATATGTACAAATTCGGGAAGTTCAATATTTATTATCCACTGCTTTAATGGAACGTTGGATTGTTGTCCGCCGAATTATTCATAAACTTATCATAGGAAGGCGTTTGTCTACGCTTCTTGCGACTAATAATCATTCGGGAGCGTCGTCTCTTCTCTAAAACGGCCTCGTTCTTGCGTGGCGGTGGAATTGGCTGATATGGCAAAGGGACGTTATTTCGCCGGCTATAAAGATAAACAAAGTCCATTCAATATATATGCGTAATGTACGTAAATAACTACGAGTTTATGCCTACCTTATTCGGCAAATTTCGCAACTGCCGGTGTCAGGATTGCTGTGCTTCTCCCAAAAGACATCGCGTACTAGGGTGCCGCACCAGGCCTTGGAATGCAGATGTATGAAGAACTTTCTGGTACTGTACTTGGAATCTTGTGCGCACGTCTGGGCATGTCGTAGCCAACCATTTTTCTTAATGCGTACCATGCCGCAGCGATAGCAATGTGACCAATGTTGTATATCTGATATGGTTACCCACTGTGGCTTAATTTTTGGCTTGATATCCACATCGAATGACTCTTCCATTTCCTGCTGCACGGGTTCATCGTCATCAATAAGACTAATAGTCACATTATCCGAATAACTGTTGTTGCTCTCTTCCATGTGCTCATACGATTCTTGCTGCAAATCATTAGGCCTTGGTTTCGATTGCGAGGGCGCTTCACTTGTTGTTTGAGCGTCCTCAACAATGGTCATGGCACGCAGCGGCAACAATGGCGTACTATTTGGAAACGGTGGCCAGGGCTCCGTGTACACAAACACATGCAGCGAGCCGCCAATGCAGGGACCATGCTCCTCTGTTGGCTGCAGTTCACGCCACATATTGCAATGTATGCATTTCATAACCGGCGGTTGTGCACAACAAAAACAGTGATAATCACGAGAACCGGAGCCGGCCAAGCAAATTGTTGAAGTCGGGCTTTGAGTATCGGGCAGTCCACATTTGCAACAGATGCACTGCATTATGATCCAGCACCAAAGAGAATAATAGCGATATATAGCAGCAATAAATGGTTAAAATAAGCGCGTTCCAGTTGTCAGAGCTTATTGCGCACTCAATGAATGACAAAAGAGAAAGAAGAAGCCGTTTTGGTTTGTGATTTGTATTTGTTAGTCAAGCTTAAATTGTGACTTTGTAGTGATGTAGCTTCCAAATTATATATTATTTATCTTTATCTGAATTTCCCAGCAGTATCTTAGTCAGCAATGAAATATCGGTGAAGTACACACAGTTTGAACTATCGATATTTGCACTTATATGGCACAGTGAAAGAAGCACCAATTGCTTGGCGCAAAATAGAATATTTCAAAATTGAAATAATATTTAAATTTCTTTTAGTTCATTTATAATATATTATATTTTTACAGTTTTATTAGTGCTTGGTTTCCATTTATTTGGATTCATTCCTCTTTGCAAAATGTCAACAAATTAGTTGAAGCATACGCGCCTTTATTATCGACATTTGTGCATTCTTACTATCGATTGTTATCAATACCAATCGCACGGCTCGTTTCCGTCAAGTTTAAGTTTGAATGAGGCAGCAAAGTGGTTTCTCAATTAATAAAGACGAGTGAGCTAATATATAGTATACTTTTATTATTATTACTTTATAGTCTTTATATTAAATACAATAGTTGGTATGGCTAATGCGTAATTGTTCTTGTATATTGCTGACTATTGCCTTGCACAAACGATTATGTTTATTGCAAATCTTACAGATTTTGACTATGTATATATATATATGTACGTATTTATGCATGTATGCCATTTATCATTGATTATAGTTACTTAATTGCGTTAAAGCCATTCCTACGATATACGTACACAAAATTTATCTGTTGAAATGCTTCACTGATACAACACTTGAAATAGAAATGTACAAAAAACACAAAATCTACAGTTAGAATCGATATTTACAGAGACTTAAACTAAAAACAAAACCTATATGCTGTCCTATAATAACTAACAATAAATATAACTTAAGTCGTAATCGTAATCGTAATCGTAGTTTAATATGTATTGATCGAATTATATATACATATGTATGCATGCAGATGTATATATATATATACATCTATAATATATATATTTGTATGTATGGGGAGATCGTGGCAACGATCTATGGGTAGCTCTGTGCATTTTCTGAAAATATCACAATGCAAATCATATATCGAGTATCGATGCGTGCTGGGATATGCCAATTCAGATAAGCCGTAAGGAACATTTGCCAGCTGGCAGCCTGGAAGACTTTGTAAGCCTAGTCGCCTAGTCGCCTGGCTCGCCTCTTTAGGATCCATCGCTCGCCGACAGTTTGACGGCCTGCAGCATGACGGTTTTCAGTTCACGTGCCAAATTATTGATGTGCACCACCGAATCGACCATTTCCTGAACCGCACTGCCACTCGGGAAATGCGCCGCGGCCTTCTTCGACTTCAGCACGCAGGTCTTCAATGCGTCCGACAAAGCATTGGTGCAGTGGAGAATTTTCTCTCTCAACGCCTCCTTGGAGATGTTACGGTGCACATTGTCTCCAATGGTCACCAGATTGTGGGCGCTGACCACCACAAATTTGCCATAGGCGATGAAATACTTCGGCGGTTGATTCTTCTCGACGGTCTCCAAAAAGGAGTCGATGGCACGTAGAAGGTTGCCCATGTGCGTGGAAATTTGTTGAGCATAATAGCGCACCACCTTCTTATCCTTGTCCGTCAGCTCGGGTGACCTATTGGGCTGGGGCACACTAGCTGTGGGCGTGGTCGGCACCGTTGGCGTGTTGCCCATGGCCGTAGACTCGGCTATCTTTAGAGCGCAATCGAACTGAGTTTTCATGCCAGCGGGTATGACATCTCTCAGTGCTTGATTCTTCTTGGCCGCCGCATCCTTGGACTCGAAGGCCACATAGTCATAATCCTCGAGCCAAGCGGCACTGCCACGGCCGCCGGCAATGCTGCTCTCCCCACCATTCTGACTGTGGAGCTGCTGATCCGCGGGCAACTGTCGCTTGAACAGCAGCGAGGCATTGCCCCTGGATGAAGCTGGTGGTGGAGCGCACATCCTCGGTGAGCGTCTGGGCGCAGGCAATCAACTGATCCAGACTATCTGGCGGCCGGCAGCCATGCTTATCATCGCTACACGCCAGCTGCTCCACTGACCAGCCACCCTGTTCGTCCAGCGCGTCCGAGGAGTCCTGTATCAACTTGTTGGCATCGCGTAGCGCACGCACCAAGGGTCTCAGCTTCAAAGCCAAATTGCGATCCTCAGAACTCTGGGCATTACCCAATGCGCCCTCACAAAACTCGGCCAAATCGTGCAGAGCTGTGCGCAGACGCAGTGCAGCCAGCTTCAGTTCCATAGCGTGCTTCTCCAGCTGGGCGGGCGTGCGCCAATGCGGCACCACAAAGCCGAGCAGACGTGAGATGGCCATCGTTGTCTGCGATTGCAGTTTGGCCAGCGTTTCCAGCGCTGAGTTCAGCTCCAGAGGCAACTCTTTCACTGTGCTCACATGGCTGCCATTGCTGGCATTGCTGGCATTGCTGGCATTGTTGGCATTGCTCGCCTGCTCCTGCAGCGGCGGCAAAGAGTTGGCTTGGTTGGCGGAAGCGAGCGGGCGTTGATGTGGCCGCACGGGCAGAGGATGACGACGCGGTATATCGTAGTCGGGCATATTTGCCAGCGAGCTGCGATTCGAGCTGGAGAAGCTCAATGACAAGCTGTCGCTGGTAAGCAAAGAGGAAGCCGAACTGCTGGGCGTTAATGTATTTTGCAGCTGCTGTTGCTGCTGCTGTAGCTGTAATGGGAGCAGAGGGCGTGGCACATCGTAGGACTCCTCCTCGACACTCTTCAACGAATCGAAGCGTGCGCCCAGAGCTGAGCCCGTCGTAGGCGTGCGCACGCCCACTCCCCGACCGCCATCGTAATTGAATTGCACAGGCGTCGCTGGCTTGGGTATATCATAGGTCTCGAATTCACTTCCATTGCCAATCGAGCCGTTGCCCATCATCGTGCCCAGATTCTGGTAGATGCTCTGATTGCTGTATATCTGCTGTGGACTCGGATTCGGATTCGGTGAACGCGACGCTCCCAAACACACTGTACCAGGCGAATAGTTGTAGATGTACTCATCCCCGTGCCGCTGTGGCGTTATGACCTGGACAAAGGCGCAGAGAAGAGCATGGATTAGAGTGGATTTAAATAGAGTTTCAACTGGGATTGGCTTATGATTTGGCTTAGGCTTGGTACCCATATAAAAGAGGGGCGTTTGATTCATTCCAATTCCAATTCTTAATATTTATATTTCATTTCCTTATAAATATATATAAACTCTTTATAGGGGCTTAAAATAATTTCTAAAATACAATTTAATCACTTTTGCGGTTTTTTATCTTGAAAAAAAAAAACACAATATTTATATTTTTATATAGAAACCTCACAGCCTCTTAAAGTTTATATACAAATTCAATAAAATTTTAGCAAAATAAAGGTGTACCTATGATTGTGGCCATGACTGTGCCTGAGTCAAACATGCCCCAGACGACTGCCTTGCCCACACGCGCCCCATCCACGCCCATTACTACGACTACGAGTACGACTGACTTATCGATTTTCACAATATTATTGTAAACTGCTTTTCAGTGCCCTTTTATGAATGAAAAGTTCGTATTAGTTTACTTGAGATGGCACACCTGTGCTGTCCTGACCTGTCCTGTCCTGCACTGCTGCTGCTGCTGGAAGTCCAAAGACAATTATCACATTTTGTTAACAATTAATGCCAATTAATAGACAATAAGCGGAAAACTAAGAAAACTTCACTGCTCAATGGCCAGAAGACGACTGTGAAACGAATTCGCATGTGAAAATGCAACTGAGTAAAAATACAGGGAAATAATTACGCGCAGGCGCAGAGAAACGCATAAGCAAATACAGGGTTCAAATATATCCCAGCTGCTGCTGCCGCTGACGTTGCAGTTCAATGCCATTCACTGTCAAGGTAAAACGAAATGAACCCGAGAGTAAATAGAGGGTATATACTATATACTATAAGCTATGTGGACTCTTTAGGACAGGGGTTTGTGTCCTCCGTCCATATGTTCGATTGATGCAATAATTTATTACAGCATATGCCGAATTCATCAATTGCAGCTACCCTGCATAATGAGACACGCATCACGCCGCGCCACGCCCACGGTTAAGCAGCGGAGGCAGCGCATTGAATCGATTGGGAATTAGGTAAACCGTTAACAAGCGAACCCCTAGGCTACCTGAGGTCCACTTCAGCCGGCAGTTGGTTAACCTTGCCCCGAGCCTTTGTGCGTGAAGTGTCAGTTGACGCGTAACACGAGTCAACAATTCGCCAAAGGATATACGTGTGAGAGGCGATCCTTATTGCAGCTGCCACGCACACACACAATGAGCTCTTATCAGCGAAATCAGCGCTGGCTGTCTTTGAACTCTGAGGACTGCAACCGGACCCAGTTCAGTCAGCCGTTAGTCGAAGCTAACAAAAGAACTATTCTTTCTATTTCGTTGGGTTTGGCCTGAACTAGTTCTGAAATGGCACACAAAACAGCAGGGAGGCGCGGCCTGACTTAAAGGAGCCCAATTTTCACGTTACTTTTCGTGCTGTTTTTGCAACGCAATTTTCATGCTGACTTTTCCCGTTTACCGTTTTGTTGTTCGTTTTAGCCTACTTTTGTTCTACGTTGATGGATCTAGAAATCTATATGTTTATGACACATTTGGGGCACTTTTTGGAACGACCTAGATGACCGCCAGGGGGCGCTGCAATTTAATCTAAAATTGGCAATTTGCTGCTTTGCTTTCGGCCATTGTTTTTATACCCTGAACCAAATGAAAATGCGAATTCGGGGTATATTGGGCTTGTGAAATATTATGTAGCAGGGAGGAGGCGTGGCCAAGCCCATATAACATAAAATTGATGGGGATGATAAGGGCGAACAGCTGCGTCTTCTTTATGAATATGAATATGTATAATCCCAACTGCCATAGGCATTAAGAGTTTATCATTTGTTATCAACTCCCGGGAAAATTCCTAGGATGAATATCCAGATTTTGTGTAGCTCGATCACTCTTCCTTCCCAAAGTTACCAAACACGTATGTGCCTTGGCAAATATTCATATCTTGAGCTGATTTGAATGCTTGAAATGCCAGGTCATCACAGGGTGCGGGTATCTCCTAGTCGGGCACTCCCGACTAGAGCACTTCTACTTGTTTTTTAATGGGATTTTGATAGTTGAAAGTTAAAATTCAGAGCACGATCGCGGCGAGATTTCTTTCAATTCTTGTCGTTCTTGTAGTATGTTTTGATAGTGTTTTTTTTATTCGGAAAATCTGAAATCTTTTGTAGCTGTCACAACATTCGTTCTATGGTTTTGGTTTTTATTGATGGCCCTGTTGAAATTCTGTACGGTAGCTGCTAAAGATTTGTATCTCTGCAGCTCATTTGATGCATTTCAATGCTGCCGCTCACACCTGCACACACCTGGGCAGGGCCAGCTCTTTGACAAACAAAATTTCAACATTTTCTCACGTACAAAACTCAATTCCAAAAGCAAATTGTTGTTAAGCCAAATCTTGAGCTGCAGGGCGGAGCAGTGGGGCCTGCTTCAGAGATGCCCGCAGGCTGCGGCGCACTGCTCTCTCCTCTTTTGGAAATTTCTTCATTTTGTGGCGTCATGTTGAGCCACTTGGACGCAAGTCTTTCAAGTGGGCCTTGCCTTGCCTTGCCTCGCCTCGCTTAATTAATGGCTATTTATATTGAAGTGTGCAGATCAGCGAGCGAGCTCATTAGGTCGTGTCCCGTTAATGCCAGAGATTGGCACTTGTGACCTTGTCATATATATAAAGATATATATATTGTTGATATCGTAAGCGATTTCACAATATAAGCAAAAGCCATAGAGAATCCGCATTCTTCGACAACGTCTTCTCATATGGCCAAACCTCTGCTTTCTGCTCTGACTTTGGTCATGCACAAATCTCGACAGAACCAAAGATGCTACAAAACAACAACAACAACAATAAAGAGTTATTGTTGCCGCATTTGCTTCTGGCTGGCATTTTGTTGCCATTTTTGGTCATTGAAATAAAAATGACATGTTTTCCTCACACAAAACTCGAAAACTCTTTTTGGAGTTAGAGCCACAGACCGAGCCAGAGCCAGCGCCAGAGCCAGAGCCAGAGACTCGACCACATTGCCATAAATCTTGATGGCTCGTTGCACTCACAGAGCTGGACGCAGTTTTATGGCCAGTGCGTGACCGCCTGGCTGCTTGGCTGCCTGCTCAGACTTATGTGGGCTCAAGGAACTTGAAATTGTCACACAGTTTTTGGAGCCAGCCTAACGGTGGGGAGAGAGAGAGAGAGCGCGCGCGCCAGCCAGCCAACTACAACTTTGTCTCTGATTTGGCCAGGCCAACAATAAACACTTAAGTATTTATGCATTTAGTTAGCGAGTGTAGCAAAAGCCCAATATGCACTACTTAGCATTGTTTGTAGAGACTGTCAAAGGACCTTCAATCTTTTATCTTCCATCTTCAATTTGCTGTTTGCTATTTGCTATCTTCTATATTCAATCATCAATCTGCTATCTCTGCACTCTGTCTTCTATCCTCGACTTTCATCTTCTATCTTGTCTCTTGTTTCATATATGTTCTATATTCTGTATTCAATTTTCAAACTTTAATATTCCATCTTCAATCTTCAATCTTCATTCTTCAATCTTCAATCTTCAATCTATTATCTTTAATCTACTCGATCTTCTATCCACTATCATCTATCTTCCATCTACTATTCTTTCTCTTATATCATCTAACTTCTTTATTCTATCTTCTCTCTTGTTTCCTCCACCTTCTCTGTTCTCTCTTCTCTCTTCTCTTAATTGGCTTGTCAAGGGTATTCAAGATTCGTTTATGGAACATTTGGACAGCTTATCTGAGTCTGCCTGAATTTGGATTCGTTGTGGACTGTGTGGGATTTGGGTTTGTGTGGCAGGCAGACACTTGCAGCTTGCAGCTTGCAGCTTGCAGCTTGCAGCTTATGGCTTGTGGCTGCTGCCCAACAGTTTGCGCAACAATGTTCAAAGACATTTCCGTTCTCAATTAAGTTAGTTTTTGTTTTTTGTTTTGTTTTGTTTTTTTTTGGGAATGCAGCTGATATGCACTTGATGTGGCTCATGCACACAGTGACTCGAGTCGACGGCACTTCAGATTAGTGTATTTGGCTCGATTCGTTTACACCTGTTGGCCTAGTCAAGCCTTTTGTTGGCCACCTTAAGTGTAGCTGCTCTGGCACTCCACTTGCCTCTCTGACAATTCTCAACTGCAGTGCGTAAACTTTTTGACGCTTTCAAGTGGTTTTTTTTTCGATTCGAAGTTCGTTTTTTAGCGTGTGATTTTTCTTGTGGCCGAATCAATAAAACCCAACTGCAGACACGTCAAATCAACAAAAGCGGCATTTAATTTGGTTTTTATATGCCCTGTACCCATCGCGAGTGCGCTGCCAGGGTATATTGGCTGTGCGAGAGGGATCAGAACGACGAGCTGAGTCCAGCTAGTTGGCGTACCATCAAAGCTGGAAGCATATTTCGGAGGTATCCATACCTCTCCCCAGAGACTTGCACGTTGCCATTAATTCGTGTTCAGGGTATCTTCTAGTCGCACACTCCCGACTAGAGCTTTCTCAGTTGTTTTTCGTTTCTTTTTTACAGCTACCACTTGAGAGGCACTTCTTCTGGCCAGCTGGCCAGCTGTCCCCCGACGCGCCTAGCTTTATGGCCAGTGGTGTGTGGAAATGTCGAGGTCTCGTCTCTACATAGGAAAGGTTTCACCCAGGCAAACGCAATCTGCCACAGCCGGTGGCAACGAATCGGTTGCAATTTGCAGTTGCAGCTCGGACAGACAAGAAATCAAAAGGCGGTGCAAGTTGAAGTAGATAGCAGCGCGAGGGGGCGGACGGCTTACTCCTCTGGCGCAGCGTTTATTTGAATTTGAATTTATGGTTTCACTTGCCTGCAGAGTGAATGAGAGAGAGTGGGAGAGCGAGGAGGGAGAGAGAGAGAGCGAGAGAGCGCATGCAAGATTGATAGCTGCCGATAATGCGAGGAAATGTTTACGACTCTGTAATTTGGACTTTATTTTATTTGATTTGCTGCGCCAAGTGCGAAGAAAAGCGAAAGTCCAACCAGACAGAGCCAACCCACAGATAGATATACACAGCTATATATGTGTATATATCGAAAATGCAGATGGCAAGTTCAAAGCTGAACGAATTCGTTGCATGTGGTGCTAATGATAATGGACAATTATGAATGCAATGTTATGCAATCCAGGGGCAGAGTGTGGGCGTGGGGAGTGGCGAGGGGCGAGTGGCGAGTGCTGCGCCACGGATTGCTAAATGAAATTGAAAGGCCTGAACGAAACAATTGCCATGGCTGGGTAATTGTCCGTTGAGTGGGTCAAATAGTTGTCAGAGATGTGAGATGGGTTTGTTGCACTGAGGCACTGAGCTATGAAAGCTAAGAGCCAATGCCCTGGATAGGAGTCTTGCATATTGGCATGGCTAAGAGTTAGCATTCAACTGGAAAGCCGAGATGGGCTTATGATAAAACGTAGCTTATATCTGGACAGCTTAAACAAATTGTGAACCGTTATGTTATGGGTCGCATGCAAGCCAAAATATATCTCAGAGAATCAGTTCCAGATGTGAATCTAGGCACATAGATTTTAACTCTGAAGGTACAAAGATTCTCAGCTAATGCCTCAGTTGATAATCAAACTCACTTAAAATCTGCGAAGTCAATGCCAACTCAGCTTTAAGCCAAGTCTTACTTAGAGTGCTCCACAGTTTGGTATGATGAAGCGAAGGCAACTTAAATTGCCACTTATTTCAGCTTAAGATTCATAATTCACATAGAAATTTCAGTTTTAGGGTATTACAAATTCGCCTAGATTCAGACTAAACTTTCAGTTTAAAAGCAATTTTGTCTCAGTTATTGCTTTATATTTGCTTATAGCTGCCATTTATTAGCTGGCCCGCTCTTCAACTAATACCCAGCTGTCTGGCCAAGTGCAAATTATTCGTTTCCTTTAATTATGGCCATCGATTTGGTCAAATCATAGAGAGAGAGGTAGAGAGGGAGACTAGATACAGAAGAGGCTGAAGGAAGCAAGGCAACTGCAATGCAAATAAAACGCATGTCCAGCTGACAAATTGGCAAATTACGAGACGAATTGAAAAAGAAAACTCAAAGAGCGGAAACCCGTTGGACAGGCACACACGCAGTCCAGCTGGCTGAGATGCTGTCGATGCAGTGCATCAGCCTTGTCCAGTTCGACGCCGCCTCCTGCTCCTCCTCGGCAGTTGGGTCCTATTAATTGCACAATTACGACACGCAATTGACGTGCAGAGAGTGAACGATGGCCGGCCGCAGTGATGGAAAACCGGCGTAGTCCGAGAAATTACTTTCTTTCACTTTCCAGACGGATATCATAATTCACACACAAACAACAACAACAACAACAGCAACAGCAACAAAATGTTCAGTAGCCAAAAATAAATAAGCCAGACGTTGCAAAATGCAAAAATTTAAATTAAAAACGAAAACAAAAACGAAAACGAAATGAAATCAAATCAATTAGGAGCCGCCTCAAGGGGCGCCTCTCGCGGACTTGCGTCAAGGCAGCGCAGACGAAGCGTTAAATTAAAAAATTACAACAATTCAAAAAGAAAACAATAAAGCTGCGAGATATATAAAAGAGGCTGAATACCCTCACAGAGATATGACTGATTGATGGCTCCAGCAAGTCCAGAGATCAAGAAGATCTAGTTCTTAACTGATCATTGCTCAAAGAAACTTCTCAGTCTAGAAAAGTTCGGTTCATTCCGAGTTTAGTCAGAAAAAGTAACAATTTTTAAAGAATTTTCTTAGCCAACTTTGCTTATATGAAGTAAGTGCTAAGGATATTTTAAAGAAAATAACTAAGACTAAATAATTCACTTTTGAGTTTGCAAAACATTTAAATAATTGTTGTCAAATCTCAAGAGGGAAACTTTTGGCGCTGACACGAGGCTGCTCTGCACGAGTATATATCTTAAGTTTCCAGTATATTTGGTATTACATCAGATAGCATTACTCTTATACTAGATAACTCCTATAAGTACCAACGACTCAATGTTCGCAACCTCTCAAGTCTTTCGTAAGGCAGACATTGCAGTAAGTCAATATACTCTCTTCGTTTCACGAGCGAGTATATGAGAAAAACTTTGTCATATATCAAGAGAGCTATTTAGGTATGGCAACTATATATATTGTTAAAGTCTAGAGTCAGATTTAATTCCAACTCAAGCTGTAACTTGCTTATGGTTCCGATTTCAGCTGAATGTGGGTTTATCAACTCGACTGGCTAAGAATATATATAGCTCATGACATCAGAGACCAAGTATATTATGACTTACTGACAAGCTTCAATAGAGTATATATATGTGGAGGAAACCTACCTTATTTGGGGAGACGTGCCATGATCTGCGTCCTCCTCGGCCCTGGCCACTCGATGAGGTTGAGTTGGTGTTGGAGCCTGTGGATTGCGTGTCCGCGGCTGCTGCACTGGCATTCAGCATCGAGCCATTCTCATAGATCTCCGCCGAGCAGATGGAACTGTTTAAGGTCGCTGTGCTGGCCGCCAGCGATGGAATCGGCGAACTGGCCGGCGAGGGCGAAAAGCAGCCCGAGTCGTAAGAGTTCAAGATGCGCAAACGGTTGCCGGGGCACAGACCCTGCAAAAGGCAGAAATAAAACAATTGAAAATACGTTGCCAATGAGAAGGGTATCTGCTAGTCGTGCACACTCCAAGCTGCTGCACTGCACTTGGCTATCAAATGAAATTCATGGCTGCCACTCATTGTACCCAATTGATTTCGATTGCCTTTTAATTAACTCAAATGCTGAGTGCATTCTGGACAAATAAATAAAATATAGATATATACCATATATAACTGATATATATATAAATATCATATATCTATAATAAATTGCAATTATTTTTTAATTGCCTGTCAAGCGGCATTAAAACTCAGCTCGCAACTCTTTTTCACGCAATTCTTTTTGTCAATTTGGCTCGACATCTGTGAGAGACTCTTGACAGATATATACAATATATATATATATATATATATATAATATATACAATATATATATATATATATATAGTGTTCCCAGATCTTGTCAACATGTGTTTGCAACTTATTTCAATTAAATTTTAGCTGCAGACAGCAAAAACTTGCGCCAAAACAATTTTTTTCTAGTGTTAAAAAAATAAATTTTCAAAATATTTTCATTTTTTTTATTTATTTTTAAAATTTATGCATAAAAAACGCTTTTGTTGCTGTTCGAGCTCAATTGGCTGTGTTTTTGGGTTAATTGTTTCCATTAAAAAGTGCGGCTACTTTTTAATTAACGGCAATTGGCCGACATCGAGCGCCTATATAGCTGTATCTATGTATCTATGTATCTATGTAACTGCAGCCATGTATCTTTGTATCTTTTGCCTGTGCTTGGCGCCTTTGATTTCCATTTTGATACGTGTTTTGACACCAGTCGACAGCAGCTTGAGTGCATTCATGAGTGTATTCATGAGTGTTGTTGTGCTCAGCCACAGCCCAATTGAGTTGTTAATTAACGACAACAACAACAACAACAGCAATAAAATAACTTTTCGTTCGCTGCAATTTTCCAAGCGACGTGCAAAAATGTTTTCAGGCTTTAATCAGTTTTTAATTTGGCCAATGGGAGTGTTTCTATTTGCTGTTGTTGTTGTGTTAGTTGTAGCTGTTGATTAGTTGGTGTTTGGTCTAATCAAAGCGCAAGACTTCAAGGTTGCCCCCACACACACTGAGCATGTGAACATAAAGAGATCAGATATTATGTGAGCTTTATAATGGGGCACAGAGTGGAGAGTCGAAGCAGTTGCCGGAGCAGCGCAGTTCATTAGAGAGAGAGAGAGAGATATGGGATTATGATATGGGATAGATATGGGAGCATGACAGATAAGTAGAGGATATCTAGGATGTCGTAGTGGTCTCTAAGCTATATAGTGTAGATACTATAACAAGGCAAATTTGTCATCAAAAGGTGCTCAAAGCCAGCCTGGAATGAAAGTCTTGAATGAGTTTAGAGAAATGGAATAAAACTCAAGTACAACTATCACACATTCCTATAGATTAGAGACTAAAGAGTTTAGCTGTTGAGGTACCTCAAATAGAGTTAAGCAAATTAGAAAAACAGAGCTTGACGGACAGCAAATGGAGAGTTTCTCTCTCTGAAATTAATTATAATAATTATTGTCAATGCTTGAATAAATCATATAAAAAGTGCATTAAATTTCAGTCTGAAAACTTATTTCATATTCAGAACGAGTTCCGCATTTAGCTCAATTATTCCAAAGTTAACATTTCGTTCCACTTTGTATACAATCAAACTAACAACGTCGACCCATTTACTCTGCCCTCCCCCAACTGGTGGGCCTGCAGCATGTCCAAATTATGTTGTACAGTGTGGCAATCGCTATGGGGATTAATGTGGACATTATTAAAGTGGCAAAACTGTAAATTTATATCCCGCATGCAGCGAGGCGGGTGTCTGCCACGTGCCCCCGGAAATGATGCTGATGAGGCTGATCATGTTTGTGGGCGGAGAAATGATGGAACTCTCCATGTTCTGTTGAAACATTTTCCAAATTAAATTATAAATGCAAATTTTATTACCAAAATGCTATGCCAAATGAATGCTGGCTCGGGCCGATTGTTTAATTATGAATGCACAGCACAAAGGGGCGTGGCATGGCTGCCTTTTTGGCAATTAGCAGGGCCAAAGAAGCTGAAGCGAAGACAAAAAACTCAAGTGAATACCTTGGCTAAGACAACTCGCAAAAGGCGTTGCCCTCTAGACATTAATGAAGCTGCACTTGGAGGGAAGGAAAACGAGAAATCTCGAGGTAGCGCTGAAGGCTTTGAAGCTGCACTGGGAGAAAAAACAAATAAGTTTACTTGCTGTTTGGAATTCAAATAAAGTTGCTTTGAGCTAAGGAAATTTTGGATTAAAAGTAAACGAGGAATCTCGAGCTAAAGCTGAAAGATTTGAAGTAAACTACACAGCGAGAAAAGACGAAGAGTTTTGCTTGCTGCTTGGAATCTCAAAATTCAAAACTTTGATCCACACTGAGAAAACTTTCATACGAACGATTTACCCAATGCAGCGTAAAAATATGGAACCTGATCTAAAAAGCATTTCTTTCATTCTCTTTCCAGCCCAACTCACCTGTCTGTTGCGCAGCGAGCATAGCCACCAGCCCTCGATGCCTTCGGTGTCCTGCTCGATGACTGTAAGGATGTCGCCTTTCTTGAAGGACAGCTCGTCGTACATATCCGCAACATTATCATAAATGGCCTTGGCATAAAGTTTCTGCAAATAAATCAGGCAAAAGAACAGAAAAAGGTAACAATTAAAATCCGTTTCTCGATTGCTGTAGGCCTTATCAGAATAAAGAAATTTGTATACCTACTATATAATGATCACAATGAACTGCATGCAAGGCAAGACTTCTAAGAAGCCGCAACAAGAGCGAGAAGAGGCCGCAGCAGAGGCGGCAGCAGAACAAGAATCAGGCCCAATTTCAATGGAATTTCAAAGACGTGAAACTTGGACCAGTCGCTGACCGACCCCGACATTGACTTTTGCCTCCAACAAAAATCCAAACTAAACCAAAACATCATTCATAAGAACTCGTCTGCGGTTTCTACAGGTAACATATTTTAGCTCTTATTTCTCTTATTTTTGCTGTTTCTGTTCCAAAACATAAATTAAAAAAAAAACAAGAAAAACAAAAAAATTGCACAAACTGCAAAACGAATTTTTCGGGCAAAACTGAAACAAAGCGAGTTCTTGTTGTTGTTGTTCCTCTGTTTTAGCTCAGGCCATGCGCTTCATTAGTTTACCTGGTATTTCAGGTCAGAGCACACACGGCCAACAGCTCGGGCAATCAATGCAGAAACACACGCCTTTTGAAATTTGCTAAAAATGCTTGCGGCCTATTTGAGTAATTCAGTTTCTTAACACTTGAGATATGGCCAGAGATCGGCTATGATTATGATTAATATATGTTATTAGATATGAACGGAAATTTGTTCTAATGATTGCATAGCTACACTTGGAGAAATTATATGTGAATGTTAGAGGTATGCAGAGGTATGATTGCATTGCTACACTGAGAGAAAAATTTGACATTTTTAATAACATATCTTATGAAAGAGGGAGTCCTTTATTGAGTTTATACTTTAGTTTGCAATTATATCTCTTATTATTATATTTTCTAACCAAATTGTCCATATATAAGATCTTAGAACTTATTAATATATCATTTTCGCATTACCAGTAAATAGTTTTGAGCTTTTAAATGAAATTCAAACTTAATTGCCTGCTCTTTTCGCTCAGTGTAGTGCGCCCATTACTGCACTCTCTGCTGTTGCCAGAGACACTCTTAATAACGGTTAAACGTTTGTTCCATTGTTAAACAGTTACATTCCAGCCAAACGCACTTAAGCCTTGCCTTTATTAATTTCTATAAAAAGCGTCTCTAAAGCAATGCGCACGACTGTGCATTGTACCTTTGTGTGTGTTTGGCCAAAGGTTTCTTCAATGAATGAACACAGATATCTATCTAAGTATGCATGTGTGTGTGTGTGTCGGTCGCGGGTTAAGCGTGCTGCTTTTAATTTCGCCACCGCATCGAACAAAAATCCAAAGCGAACATTTCCAGAGCTCAAACCCAAGCCGACAAGCCGTTGCCGTTAACTGCACTAGTACAACTTGTTGCCCCCCGCTCTCTCGCTCTCTTATATCGTCTCTTGTTGTGTCCCCCTCATTCGCTTCATTTACCCTCGGCCCTCTTCATACTCGGCTCCTGGCTCATTTAATATGAGCTGCGGATATCGCATAGAAACACACATATACACACATACAGACACACAGAGGAACGTATACAAAACGACAGCGATTACAATATCGCGCGATGAATCGCCGTTGAACTTTCAACTCGGGTTTTGGTGTGAGTGCGGAACCCGTTTCAACAACTACTTGGGTTAGGGCAATGCGCATTTTGTATATTCTACTTTTCAATTTGGAAAGCTGAAACCGTTCAAAATGTCAAAAAAAAATGAGCTCACTTGAAGTTCATGTGCACGAAGCACAGGGCAGTCCAACTAACACTTGAGCATCGCGTTGTTCAAACAGTCAAGCCGCAAACACCAACAGCAACAACAACAACAAAAGCAGCGAGCTCAAGAAATATTTGTTAATTTGCCTGCGACAAACGTAATCGATGAATTGATAAGTGTGTACGAGCGAGATGGCGTATCTCTAGCAGCTGCCAGGGCTGCGGGCTTCCATTTTTTCTGGCGTGAGTTTGCTTTGCTTTCTTCTTCGAATGCTTATTTTAACACAGCGCTAATTGTATGGGCAAATATTTATAGTTGGGCGTTTGGTATGTGGTTTAAGTGATTGTTGTGTTGTTGTTGTACGCAAACAAATATCAAATATCGATATATTTTTGTTTGTCTGCGGCGACTTTAATTGGTTTGTTTAGCGCGTACCACAATAGAACCAAGAAAATTGGAACTAGATGTAATAAGCTATACTATGGAATTAGAAAGCTTTAAGAAATGTCATTTCAAATGTTGTATACGACTTTCGATAGAGCTTTCGTATACTCAAAGTCTTATAAATTGTTTTTATAACTTATGTATGCAAAATGCTGCTATAAATCTGCCAAAATGTATATAAAAATATATGAATAAACGTAATTTGTGTTCCTTTCGGCCATGTTGTGTTTGTTTTTCCTTCAAAGTGAAAGAGCTCCATCGATTTATTGTTTTTAAAACGGCACGTAAGCGACCACAACAACAACAACTTCACTGAGCATAAGAGCTTTAAGACAAAGTTCCAGTTCCACATAACTCTCTCATGTACGCAGATTTTTTTTCTTTTTATTTTATTTTCATTTTTTTTGGGCCATAAGAAAACAATGCAAACAACAAAAATCTTTATATACTTTTTTTGTTGAGCACAATTTTTGAGCTTGGCTGACTTCAAAGTTATTCACCATGTGGGCCATAAAGCCAGAGACAGTCAATATTGTTTTTAAGGAGGGGGTGGGGCGGGGCCTTTGTAGAAAGTCCGACACATTTTATTAAGTATACGATCTGTTGTCTTATCCTCTTTACACTCCTCTGGAGAGCGGGCAGTGCATGACCTTAGCTAGCTGATTTGCCACAGACCATAAATAACTAAATTCACATAGACAAAAACGAAAGATCAAGAAAATAAATCAAACAACAGAAGCCGCCGGCGACAGCGTCTTAATGAGCACTTAAAATTCGCAACAAAAATTGTGTAAAGGAAAAAAATAAAAAATAAAAAATAAAACAATGAAAGAGAGACACAAAAATGGCAACAACTTTGTCAAAATTTACTCAACTTCTGATGAGCTTCAAGCTGAGTCCTCAACAATGACAATCTTTGACTTGAAGAGGAGCCCATTAACCGCATTAAGCCAAAGCAAATAAACAAGCAAATAAGAGTGTTCCAATCGGGCGCCAATGACTGCATAATACTCGTTCAAAACAAAGTTTACTGCTAAATTTTTGGAACTTTAGCTCTAAATCTTGCCACGCCCCATGTTAGGGTATTGCATACGTCTCTTTCTCTCACCTCGTGAAGCAGAATGATTTAGTTATAGCTACTGATAACCTCTAGCCAAAAATAACTGATAATGCTTATATATTTAGTCATATATATATATATATTTTAGTCACATATTGTTTATTTTTGAGGCTTCTGTCATTGCGTGACTGATAAAGTTTGTCTTTTTCTTACCTTGGCTTTTAATTAAAACAATTTCGCAGGAGTTCTTTACAGTGCATGCCTATATGTGTTATATACATATATATATATATACAGCTCTATAAATCTATATGTATATAAATATTTATCACTATTTTGCTTTCTCGAAACATTTAGCTTAATTAACAGAAATCAATTTTCTGTTTATTTTCTGCGTCATTTTTAGGTTTTTTCTTTTTGTTTGTTTTGCTTTTTTTTGTTTCTGACAACCTTTGGACATTGGCATTGACTAAGTGTAAGGTCTGATTAAATAAACCTCGGCAATTTAACCTGCTTAAGGTCTGTGGCAATAGCTCGACAAGCGAAATGGAATAAATTATTGTCTTTTGGCAAGCCGAAGAAAATATTTATTCTGCGAGATATATATGAGAGACATCTGCTTAAGCACTCTAGATATATTTGAAGATTGAACTAGCTCACAGCTGAACCTGATTAATAATGACTGAAGTTTACAAAGATGTTGGGAAGATGTTCCGAAGACATCTTCTATGTGTGATAATACCCTCTAGAAGCGCATGAAAGGGGTAGCTATCATTTCAAAGAGAACTGCAAATTGGAGTACAGCAAATTTTGAGTTATATATATATATATATCTAGGAATTTATTTATGTATACTTTTGTTCATTTCTCAGTCCACTTGTCTGCGCAGTATAAAAAAACGCCATATGTTGAGTTGAACTGGTTTTATTGTAGCTGTTGCTGTTGCTGTTGCTGTTGTTGTTGTTGAGTGCAAAAATAAACAAAATGTTTTGCGTCTTGACGCTTTAGCTTTAGCCTTTTCGGCACTTTCGTCAAGTCGTGTGCAAAAATGTGACAATAAAAGACCTGAAAGCAGGCCAACTGAGCCAAAAACACGTTCCACACTCGCACTAGCACGTCAGAGTTTAAACCAACTGTTAAAGTTGATGTTAAAATGCGTTGACAACTGCTCGAAGCCAACTCCCACAATCAACTCAGGCAATCGTCTAAGATGCACGTTGAACGCTTCACTGAGTCGTCGTCGGCGAGCGAGTCAATGAAAGTGCAACAGATACTCTGTTTCCGATATGCCACGCCCATGGCGTCGACGGCCAACCGCCGACCGCCAGCCGCCTCTGGCTACATGTCAACCTCAATGAACAATGAGCAATGGAATAACTGCAAGTGTCTGTCGAGCCATTTAACTGTAAATCAACTTTAATGGAGGTGACTCGAGCGTAATCCACAAGGGCGAGGGCAGGGCTGAGGCGTGGCACAGGCCATGTCCCAGGAAGGTAGCCGCATTGTTGACCCTCTCGCGCTGCGAGCTCAATTGAATTAATAAACAAAAATCTTTGATTTAGTTTAATAAAGTCTTAGCTCAGTTGCGCTTTAACTGGGAGTAAATCGACTACACTGAGAGAAATATTGTATGCAATACAATTTTAAAAAAAATTTGTTTAATTTTGGTAAAAGTAATAACAAAGTACCTTTATCTATACTTCTATTAGGCTTTCTCCTAAACTATTCATATTTTTTGCA